TTTTCGCTAAAGACTACCACGAGAGAACAACTATTACTGACATCATGGAATCAACCAAACAGATATATTATGCCAAAGTCGAATTATATTAACCCACGTTATATTGGATAAAAACATTTACAACCAAATTTCAGAAAATCTAGCAATGGCTGATTTAACAGGTGCCAAAAGGAATTGATGATTTTATAATGAGTAGTATATGAATAACTGGACAAAATTTCCCGGACGCACACGACCGATTCCGCGATCCTTACTGCTTGTCAGATATGAGTACCCCGGTAATCTTCTGTTGTCTGTGATTCTTATACTTGAACTCCTGATGTGAATAATGCAATGCAAACCTCATTTGCAACTCGGGGGAGTGGATTTGAGACGAACAAGTTTCCAAAGAAACATTGCGATAATTCTGCATCAGTTGGCATGGGTTAGATAGGTCTAACCGCAGCCGACTGGAGTTCGGAGCCAATCTTCAATGATTTTATATTGAATTGTTGATTTTGGTGGTGTTGCTAGGACACTGAATGGTTTGACATTGAGGTGGTTGAACACCCGTTCTGTTCTGTTTATTCACCTGACATGAGAAATTGAAATGTTGCTACAAATATGTATTGTTCATTTTCATCTGTGAGCCATATAAATTATTAAGGCTTGGAATTCTGCGAACATTTCGGTGAAAAGATATCATAAACTGGATCATCTGTACACGTTGATGAAACTCAAGACTCAAATGACACTGCGACAAAAAACGGAGTTGAGGGCGTGACCCGATAATGGGTGAAAAATCCTGTCCGAGATGGACGAACAATCTCTTTCCGTGTTAGTTTCGCGGCCAACTGGATGCGAACAATATGGAGAGTGAAACAAACATTAGAAAAGCAAAACGTAAATAAATGGAAAGGCAGAAGCCTAACACTATTATGTAACAATTATTGACGGTTTCATCGCGGCTGATGATGAAACTTAGCAAACAAGTCACCAAACTCGGTATCAAGTATAAATGAATTCAAAACGTCTCAGTGGTGAGGACCGACTTTTTGCACACGAGTACCGTGTTCACTTCATGCAATACTCTTATGCGAAACTTAGGTCAACACGTAAAATAAAAATTAAAAGAAAGTGAGAGATTGAACAACCATCTGTCTAGTATTTTTACGTGTATGATTAGGAGGAATGGAATACAGTGCGATCTCTGCATGTAAACGAAAGCCAAAAAAGTTGCGCTGCTATTGAAAACTTGCTCCAGATTTTTGTAACTCCCAAATTCGATCAGTCCTACCTGAAGCATATCGTGCCTGGATTGTGGACAGTCCGCATTCTCCAAATAGTCCGTTACCTCTTCTACACTGGTCAATTGTTGATTCAGATTAGTTCGCAACCGGAACAGACGTTGAGTCAGCGGTAAGGCGTCCTCCAAGCGCTCAAGGGACATGAGCACATTCATCACCAATTTCTTGTGTCGATCACACAGCACGGATAAGTCAGTGAGCAATCGCTCGGGATAATCGACTGCCTTATTTTCAACCAACACTTGTCCAGTCTGTTGTGCATATTCCAAATCCGGTTTGATTTCATTCAGTTCGGTAAGGAGTTCCTGTTGGGCGGAGAACGATATGCATCACATTTGTCAAGTGTGTAAGTTGGTGAATCAACAACAACAAAAACAACAACAAAAACAAAAACAACAACAACAAAAAACAACAACAAAAACAATTCCGAACATCTGAAAATCAGCCGAAAATAAACACGATCCGGCTTGAAACTCACTTTTGCTTTCTCTGTAATCGTCTTGATGTGTTCCGGACTGAGTGATAAAACATCCACGTGACTGAGTTCAGCTTCCACGCTGGAAATCACGTGCCGTATTTTGGCCAATCTGGGTTCAAAGTCGGTCGGTCTAGCAAGTCGGAGCATCATTTGTTGTGCAACAGTGAATCGTTCCTATGATTGGAAAGGAAATAAAATTGACGCACACAATTTTTTTCATTATTTTTCCAGGTTCTTTCATACAAATTTATGGATCCCCGTTGTTGTAAAGCTTTTGTGTATAGTAAAAGATTTACTGATTTGTAATATTCAGTTTTTTCGAACAAACCACCCTGATTCCTATTTAGCTAGTCACCTACTGTAGACTTCTTAGATTAAACGTAAGAGTAGGACATTTACACTCGAAACTATTTTCTTCGATTTGGTGCCTACTCATAAGTAGTATAACTCAAAATGCGTAAGTCACAGCAAGATTGGTAAGTTCCAGTACGACCGATTCATCCCGACACCGGTGAAATACAATTTGCCACTCGAATTTGCAAGCGCACTCTGAGGCTATTCCATCGTTTTAAAGAATTATTAAAATCGCATGTTTATCAAGTTGTCTGTGACAAGGAATGTGAGATAGGTCGTAGTGATGTGGAATGACTGGCCATCTTCCATTTTCACGCACACTCCTTAGTTCATCCAGTCAATCGTACACTCGGGAAGCATATTCACTGAGTAGTTCTGAACTAGCAGACCAGATCTTGAAACGTTTTCTGAAGGCCTGCCTTCTTAGTAAGTTTTTGGTCGCAGTCAATGGAGGGTTGATTGTATTAGTAAAGGTGAACAGACGGAATACTATTGACGACGAAATTCGGGCAACCTCGGTGTGGGCTGGCTAGAACACTATGCAGGCCCACTTCGTGATGCGTCCCGAGTAAGGACCCCGGATGGGGTAGTATATATGAGGTCTAAGACAAGAGCTATCTAGCTTCAGTTCACTGGGTGAACTAATTGATGGCTATCCAAGACAGTTAATTACGAATGATGACCAATATGAATGAATGTTCAGATTAATTATGTAGCACATATTAGTTATTCAAGTGAATGCAAATCCTTAGTGTGCGTACCATTCCATTTGGAGATATAAAATCAACTTGGTGCACTGGATCATTTCGACTCTGTCTGGTAATTGTGTGTGTGTGTGGGGGGGGGGGGGNGGGGGTGAGTGGTTCTCTACTGTTTGTTAACTTTAATCGGGATGGGCAATCGGAAGAGTCACACCAAGGAGCAATCTGTAAGAATTTGCGGGTAAAAACAGCCTGCTATAGTGCAGCTAATCGTTGTATCCCACATAAAAGATCGGCCTAGGATAACACAGAGTAACAATCCCGTTGCAAGATGGACTCTGTTGTAATATTGTGCTCAAAGATTGGTGGAATTTACGTACCAAAGGTTACGTCTCAGTCCGACCAATAAGACAGATGTACTGCAATATAATGGTGGGAAACTAGACGCTGATGCCTAAGAAACAGAATTTAAATACAGAATCACAGTCATAATGTAACTATTACCCAGGAAATATCATTATTTGAGTAAAAAATGTTCAGTTTGTGCTGATCTTTTTGTTCATCTGATCTCAACAGTGGGGCATTGTTAAATTCTGTCAGACAAACGATCAATATGAGCGCCTCATGCCTAGCCTCCAACGATAAGGGAGAACACGATTGGAGGGCAAGTCATGGTCAAGACGCTATACGCAAAAACATAAGTTGACAAATTAGGCGCCGTGACACACCAATCAGATCGCGTCCTTGACACTCCGATTGATCGATCGGACGATAGCTGTCTGATTCACCTTAGTGATCCAATCCGGAATCGATTCGCCTTTGGGCGTCGCGAACGCACTTGTGGCGTAATGGATTTTGTGCGCTCCGTCCTAACAGAAATAAGCAATTATGCACAGTAAATCACAAAATTGTGATTTGACCTATGCTATTCAGGAGCTTGCTTACACATCCTTGGAGTTAACAAGTTACCTGAAGCCCACGATCAGTGCGGCTATGCGTTACTGGATACAATTACGGGTAGCGGATCACCACTTAGGTGGCTGATGATGTATACGTGAGTATTCCTTTGTTTGGAAATGCGGTCACAGACGCCCGAGAGCAACGTCAAAGTACGTTGTGGTCCAAAGCAAACAAACTCGATTTCTTCAACCAAAGACTTCCGATATTCGAGAAGGCATCTAAATGTGTGTAAATTTATTCTAACCATGCTATCGTGAATACTCTGTTACCCTGCATGTAGCACTTGACTGTGCATGGTTTGCGGTTCATCCACGAAGAAATTGGTGGACTGATATTACGGATTCAGGTTAGGATCATATTCCCCAGCGTCCTTACGGACAAATATGTGTGTCCCAAACGCTCGCAAATCACAGCCTGTTGTCTTAATTCAAAACAAGCTCATATCCCAAGTAGTTAATCCACGTGGATAGCGTTGCGTTCATATCCGGGTTCAAACCCTGGTTGATTTGGTTAAATGCGTTGTCAATGATTACTAAGGAAGATGAAACCCATTCACTGTGTGTGTGCATAACGGGAAAACCTCACAGTGTTTAGTAAACATTGAAAAAGTTCTAAAAAGACAGTAACACATTACAATTGCCAATGATCACAATTCATGAACAAATTAATTATAGTGAACGAGAGAAAAACTGTCTAGACTCGAAAGAATTCACCCAGAATTTCAAATTAGATATAATGGAAGTCACCGAATACTATAATTATATTGTAATCCAAGCAAGCTAAGAAATAAATTCCCGGTTGAATTGAATGCGTGAATGCGGGTACTGGTTTCCTAAAATTAAATCAACGACACCAATTCCTACCTGTATACGATTTCGGAACAGTTGAAGTTTGTGTATGAGCAATTTACTGGACGATTCTTTCTTGGCCTCGGCAAATTGAGTTTCCAGTCGTAAAATAAACTGATCCACATCGTTCAACTGACGTTCCCATTCGGCAAATTTTTCCGGCTCATCCGAGGCGGACATGTTTGCATTCACGCAGTCGCGAAGTTGTGGCTCCACGGCAATCAACCAACTGATGATCTCCTCGGCTCTCGCCTCGGCAGCTTGACACTGAGACAGTATGGATTGATTTTTCGATTTTGTGGACTCAATCTGTTCCGGTTGGAATATCGGGGGGGGGGGGGGATTGATTGATTAGAAAGGTAAGTTATCATTACAATCGACCCATGATAGGTCCATTGAGATCACGGATGTTTCTAGGATACAAACAGATTGTGCTGCACTACCGTAATTCAGTGAGAAGACAATGCAGTAACGGATTAATTACCGTATCAAAAATCAGGACATGTATTGGAAACTTGAATTATGTGGTTTATTCGACGAGAAATTAAGTGAGTGCTAATATTATCGCTCAGATTTGGAACGATTTCTGACAGTTTGCGTGTAGTTTTGGGTGAGGAAAACTGAGGCACCCTGGTCGATGGATTCCGAAGAAGATTTCGCTTATTCTATCGGTAATGTAGGTACAGCACATATTGTTGCTGAAGCGCCAGGGAGATACCACACTCCTGTTTTCCAGAATTAATCGCTACTTCAAAGGAATATTGATTTAATGGTAAGAGATCGGGATTATCCTATCAAAAGTGGTTGAGGTTTTCAATTATTGACCCGGAAAACCCGGGTTCGAAACCTTCCACCACTGCTCTCTTCCCAAAAGTTGATTGTATACTTCTATACTCAATGAATGAGGAAGGAAGTAAAAGAATATAGTTTTTCGTCATGTGACTCGTCAAAGCGCTCGTGCCAAATTTCCGCGGAATTGTTTGAAAAGTGACATGTTTCCTCGTCAGTTTTTACGGAATCTCTTCACCGGAATAAACTGTCACCTAATCGAAGGAACCTTATGTGTTTAATGAAATCTCAATTGGAACATACAGTTGAAACAGAAATAACTCAGACAGAAAATTTCCTCAATGTGCTTTACTCATATATGTATTCTTGTGTAGATGAAATGGATAAAAGGGAAATGGATATTTTACAGAAAATGTTTTATTTATAAATATTTACCTCAAAAATAGTGTAATCACGAATATATTGAAAATGCCCAAGCGGCAATTGATAACACATTATCAGTAGGTCGTGTATTAAATTCTTCTCACCACTGTTTCTTCTATCTTTCTCTTTATCCCTGGTGATCTGACTGTTTACTTTTTTTATCATTTGATGATATAGATCACTCACAGTCCAAAGTTACAATTTTATTATGTACGATTTAAAAAAGCTAACCCTTAGCGTACCCTGTGGGAATTTTACAGAATCTTTTTTTTTGGATCACTTTAAAAAAGAAAACAATAAACCTTATGCGAGATCACTCACGGATGTCGAAATGTTATGTGTTCCAATGTTTTATCAAGTAGCGATTTGAATAATTCAACGGTAGGAGCAAACACAACCTGGGATGAAGGAGAATTCCATACAGGGGTGGTTGGGTTGATTCAGTATGTGGTATGTCAAGGTTAAGTTCCCTCGAAGTCGACGGTACTGATATGGGTAAAGCCCCACTATTTGCAATCTTTCGGAGTGTCTTACTATACAGACTTTATACCATTTTTGTTGCCAACCTTTGCGACGTTCTATGAAGCCGTCTTGTCCTAGTTGAACCCTAGTTTCCATGCCTGAACGGCATGGAATTCTGTGTGTGGCCGAACAAACGCTGATAGCTCACTTGGGAACAGTGCTATTTCGAACTGCCGGAAAGCATGTTTAAGTTCATGGGGTAAAATTTTCTTACCACTAATCTGGTATCTATGGTAGTCAAGGATTGGTCACACTACCGTGATGGGGAAATTGTGTTGTGCTGTGCGGCTAACAAGGCTAACATGGCTGTTCCTGGAATATCTTATCACTCTATGTATTGCCGTCAGCGCCAAGGTGCTGACGTGCACTCACATAACCAACAACACATTCATGCACCAAAGCTAATTCAAAGTTACCACTTAAAACTGAAACTTCGATTTGTCCAATCTGAAATGTCATCATTTCTGTCCCAGAATCAGTGGTTAAACTGCACAGTAATTGAAACAAAAGAATGTGTTATTACGTATGGAACAAAGTAAAATGGCATACAGCCCACCCGTAGTCACTTGAAAGAAGGTTTAAGGTAGTTTGCTCGAGCCTAAGTATACTAGCTTATTCCTGGGAGGTCACTTTGAATGTGTGACCGAGGTGATCCCTAAAATCGCACCGGTTTCAACGGAACAATCAAGGCACTTTCCCAATCCGCAAATGTTCTTTGAAAACCCACTGTAATGTAACAAAAAAATCAATACCATCAACAGACTGCCAGATAACATCTAACCTCAGTTCTTGTGGTAGCCAGTTTGTGTTTGTACTCCTTCAGTTCATCTCGCACAGAGTTGGATAGTACTTTGGATGCGGCTAGGGACGCACATAAAGTGTCCAAGCGTTCCTCATCTTCTGCCGTGTGTTCACTGGCCACTCGATCCAAAGACTGCTCACACAGGTGGACAAACGGAATAGGTGGTGGTGGAGGAGAGTAGGCAGATGGACAGATAAAGGGGAGTGATTACGTCATGAGAAGAATTAGTTAGATGGGATCTAAAAGACTGCAGCGATTAGTCCTAGATACTACTTTTACTGACATGCACGTGCAAAAACAACTTACAACAGTAACTGTAATAATACACAAAACACAGGGGAGACACCAATCATCTTGTAAATCCAAGTGAAACATTTCACATTATTTATCAGATTGCCCGAACCAGTCTCGATATGTTAGAACGCGTAAGTTGGCCTTAGCCGAAACCATAAATCAGTATTAGTATTGATGCCCGAATCTCTGTGCTCAGAAGTATCCAATTCAAGCTCTTCATCTCTTCTTCTGGGTTCACGAAACCATCCTTACCCCTGACTCCGCCCCACCAACACACACATTGTCACACAATAACGCTGATCCCTCTCAGAACTGGGTCACATGACGGAAGTGACTTAACTGAAAATCCCAGAAGTAAAGAACTGAGAATTTAGTGTGTAACATACACATACACACAAAATGATCGATTCATCATATTTCACTATCATTCTCCCAATCGCTAGGTTTCATCTTCTCATATGTACTTCAACGGGATGATTATGAGTTAGTAAAATCAATTGCTCACCAGAAATTGTATTCTAACTGCAAGTATGGCTATATTTAGAAATCTTAAAAGCCCTTCCCTTGATTTTATGCTCGAGGCCTTACCTCAAGGTCATCGGACAATTCGGCCAAGTCCGCGTATTCACTCGCCCCGATTCGGGCGATCACTTCGGAGACGGAATCGAACCAACGATTTTCACCAGCGAGAACCGCTAAAAGAAAAAGAACACACAGGAATGCATGTTGATCAAATGCTTACCGCTGACACAGTGCTACAGTGTGAGTTGAAAATATAAGCAACGTTTTGTAAACTGGATGTTTCATTTCCAAACCGTAAAGTGTCATATACTAATTTTTCAACATCGAGGTTACGGAAACCGATATTTGCCAATGAAGTAACTCCGTCAATGAATCATCTATGAATAATTCCGAAAATTCAATGTGACTCATAATTTCACCAAATCCTTTTCCTCCTTAGATGTTATGGAATACAGTAACACAATCCGAGAGCTCACTGTCACTTCAAGAAAAATTTTACGCAGCTTATCAATGGTCCATGGAGAAAGGAGACATTGAGTTCAATGCTTCTAGAAACAAAGTCCTATCAAAACGTTATAGGAATAGATTCTCGTATTTTCTCGGAAAACACCAGCTACCACGTACCTCAGGTGAGAAGGAATTAGGTGTATTTGTTCAAGAGGAATTAAGCTGCTCAATCAATTGCACTGCTATGAAAAATGTCGGCTTCCTTAGGTGAATATTTGGCTGAAGTCAATCAATGTGTTTCTCCAAGATTTGCTCCTAACAACGCAAATCAGTTGAGCACTACATTATGTGTTACCGGCCCAGAACTATATGCGATGTTTATC